TTAAGTTTCACATCACCCACCAGTTCCTCCCTGTTGGTGAGCACAAGGTCGAGCATGGCACCCCTCCTTGTCGGCTCCTCTATCACCTGCAGGAGGAAGTTGTCATCCACGCATTCCAGGAACCTCCTGGACTGCCTGTGCCCTGCCGTATTGTCTCTCCAACAGATGTCAGGGTGGTTGAAGTCCCCCATGAGGACCAGGGCTCTCTGTCAAGAAAACATTAACAACACTTTTTGATGGATGAGGGCCTCTATCTCACATAGATTACGATGCTAGAAATATCAGGCAGAGAACTTTTAAATTCAATAGCACTACAAATATGCAGTCATGAAATATAGGTCCTGAAATATTTGTTCTGCTGCGAAGCGCTCAGAGATTTGTAAGAATGTGGCACATCATCTGTTGCAGGCATTAAAAAAAATAAGAATACTTTACAGACACACACTTACCACCAGTTTCGAGGTCTCTCAAAGGCCAGAGAACAGTATAAGCAATTTGTTGAGGCATATAAAACAGAGGTGCTGTTGCAAAGCTCGGCTGATCTGAATGCTGAATGCGTGATCCAAATTCATCCATAATGTACCAGACAGGCACCTTCTCCTCAGCAGTCTGTAGGATTGAAGAGAGTGAGACATCCTGCACGTAGCAATTGCTAGAAAAGCACCACAAGACAGAAGGCGCTGGCAGCAGCCCCTACACTATTCCTGTTTCCTACTCTAGCCAAGATTGTGAGCAGGTGCAAAGCACAGAGTAACTCTCTCATCCCTCCAACTTTGACGCTACGCCAGCCTAGCATCCAGCCACTGCTGGGAACAGCCTGTTCCCGTCTCAACTGCACGGTCTCATCCTCTTTCTTATGCTACTGCTATTGCTTACCAGACCCACTTGCCCTCTACCAAACTAGCCAGTTCAGGGAGCTAAACTAGCAGACAGCCGTTTGGGTTTTTTGGTAGGATTAGCTTTCCTGCAGGTTCTGCAGTTTCAGAACCAGTTCACTACAAGGACGAGTTGGATGTTTACAGCTTAAGAATAAATGAGAGAAGAACTGCCCCCTGCCACAACAGCTGGGCTGCATCATCAAATCATCCCTTCCTGCAACACTTGTCATGATAAGATCTTGAATGAATGGATAAACTTTAAATTGCTTGGGAACACTACTGTCACCCTTTTACAGATGCAAAAACGGAGGCACAGAGATTAGATTTAAGATATTCAAGTAGCCCAGTGCCAGGAAGGGGAACAGAAGACAAATTCAGCTACAGTTGAATTAATCGTCTCCCAGGAAAGCACTTCACAAGTGGTAACACTCTGAGAATCCCACTCGACTCAAGCCATTCAAGACAATGACACTGGAAGCAAAAACATAGGGTGGAAAGATTGAGATAATCTGTTTAGACCTCTCTTTTATTTAAAGGAAAAAAAGAACAAGAAAAAAAGAAAGCAGTCACAACTAATCCCTTTCTCAGAGATCTTTCAGGCCTACGAAGCTGTGAGCTAAGTTGATGTCTTAACTGATAAAGATGTCCACTCCAGGGAACAACCTCAAACCCCTGAGCTAAGACGTGTAAGTTGATCATGCTCACACTGCTCAGGGCAAGCCCTGCCCACTCTGCACAGGACTTGGTTGAAGAATTTGCCTTTCTCCTCTTTAGTCCAAAACACTTCCAATAGCCTAGGACGTACATCGCAGCCTCTACAAGAGTTTTTAACTGAACCTTGAGGGCTGTATTCCCTCAAACACTTGAGGGTGTTTGAAGGCTCAAGACTTCTGGTACAGTGCTGAAAGACTAATACAGGGCAGAGGGACCAAACCTGGCGTGGTCTTACCCACACCGCCTAAAAGCAGCAGCCTTTGGAGTAAGCTACGCCCAGAAACACTTAGGCTCCATCTTGAAGCTAGCCCGTTCTCACCTGAGGGTGAGGTAACATTTACACAGTACAGACAATCAGTTGTCAAACGCAAACTAGGAAGTTAAGTTATTTGACAGTATAGATATATCCCTGGTATGTAAAGCACTCTATACAGGTGAGGAAAACTGCAAGCATAGCTGGGACACACACTTTTATGTGAGACAGGCAATTTGTGACAGATTCTTTCCTTCACCATGAGAAAGTGAGTAGAAAAAAACTCACATAACATATTAGCAGATCTCCCCCTTCTCGCCCCCTTCTTTTGCAGCAGAGTCTCCCCCTCTCTAAGCTCTCACCAGAAAGCTGGTAGCAAGCTGCTGTGCATTTTAGCCATACATGGCATTTGCTCTCCTTCCAAGTAGAAGTTTATTCTGAAATGTCTGTAAAGGACCTTTTTTTGTATTGAAAACGTGTCTTTGTTAACCGACGTATATTGGAAGGTCTTCACTCAGGATTGCTCAGAACTTTCTAGCATCCTAATTAGGCTTTAGAGACTTACCCCTTGAGAAAGCTGGTAGGTCTGGTTGTATTTCCACATTTCCTGCAACACTTGCTCAATACTGCCCTCGTCTGGGATCTCTCCGTGAAAGTCGATTCCCATGAGATTTGTCATTCTGTGCAGTAAACCAGGGACGTGAAGCAGCTGCTGGCGGGCGTGTTCAACACGGTAGGTCCAGGCATGGTCGATGAGGAAAACGCTTAAAGAGAATTTTGGTAACATTGTAGTGTTATATTTTTACAGGTATATAGCCAAATATTCTGTGAGTAAGAGCTACATTTCCTTGTAGACCGTTTGATAATTGAGTCTTCTCTTAGTCCTAACTCCCAAAGCTACTCCCAGAGTGCACACTGTGACATGACAGATAAGGAACAACTTCCCAGCAGTAACTTACACTCTGTTTTTGTTCCAGAAAGCTTATTGTGCATAGCTAGTATTTCCATGAAAATGAGGGGCAAACACAGAACAAGGCACTCAGTTTGTAAGCCCAGTTCCCTTTGAAGGCCAGGAACACAAGAGTTTCCTCCTTTTTGATTATTAAGTCCACTGCATCAACCTGATATTCTTGCCTGAAGGAGGAAAACAATACACTACTTTGGCAAAAGTATTCGAGGATCTTGTTAACCAGAAGCTCTGTGACATCTACTCCCATCTGTAAAACTAGGTGGAGAGATCTGATCATCAAAAGTCTGTTTCTCTTTGTTTTTTTCTAGGTTGTCGTGTCCCCCTCCCTGGATCTTTTTAGAAAAAATGCATTGTTTTAAAAGAATTACTGATCTAATCCAAAACAAAATCATACACAACTGGCACAGCTTCCCTTGACAAGTTTAACCTGTGTTTAAGCTGCATGATTTTTACAAAAAACACAGTTATGTCCACATTTTGGTTATATTCTCATACTGAACCAAGTCAGAGAAGAATCTGAATTCTACTTGCTAAAAAACCCGCAATAAAACAAACAAAGAAATCAACACCCCCCCAACAAACAAAACCACTCTGCCACCCATATTTCAGAAAGTTAAAAACACATCAGCTGTCACGTACACTGAGGATCCTTGAACAATTATTATGTCTCAGATTCCACATGAATGCTGCAAGGAAGCCCAAGATCATCGCAGGAGCTGTTTTGAACTTTATAACTTAAGTGTGTTCTCAGATTTAGAAAGGCAATGACTTTGGTTAAAAGAGGCACATAAAGGCAGATACCTACACTCTATGTTGTTTTCACTCATCAAGGCTAAATTTAGATTTTTAGACTTTGTATGTTTACCCAAGACCTAAAAAGTATGAAAGTTCAGGCAAAAGAAGTTTCATAGAACTGAGCAGAATTGTGTTTAGATCTCCAGCAGAGTTGACTTCATCTCACTGCCATTTATTAATATAAGACAAATAGCCAGTTCTATGTTTGAAACCAGTGAGAACACCAAAAGCTGTGTTGCAACATTAAGTTGTTTGTTATGCAACTCTTTTCTAGTTTTGTAAGTGCATACTAGTCTCACATTCATGACAGAAGCTGATTCTAAAGAAAGCCAACAGTAACTTGATGTATTCAATTATACATGCATGCTATGCCTGCAATCACATGATCACACTCTTGAATTATATTTTAGCCAACTGGAGGAAATTTAATAGTCCACGAATCATTACTTTGAAGCTGCTTAGTACCTCCTTAGCCTGAGATTTGTGAAGGTCACAAGTACGTCTTCAGGTGTTTGTGTTTTTTTTTTTCCAAGGGCACAGTCTTACAGATACAAAGTTTTTGTTTTCTTTCTGCAAAACTAATTTCAAGGCTGTCTTTTCCCTATTTTCTCCCTCAGTTTACTAAAACCAATTTCTAAGTATCTTCCTGCATGATTTAAAAAAAGAACGTTAAGATACTTGCAGTCCTAGTACCTTTTGCAAGACATGCCTCACAGCATGCACCTTTCCTCAAACAAGCAAAAAAAATGTCTTAGAGTAAGAGGATTTCTGAATAGGATCAAACAAGTTCTAAAGCAAACTGTCTGTATCATTTTAGAGTTAAGACTACTCAAAGACTGAACACTAGTTCTGAAATCACTACTCACCTGTTGGGATTGGAGGCTTGAAGTCCATTCTCATTTGTTACAATAACTTTGAAACAAGGTTCACTTCCAGGATTTGGTTTCTTTTTCAATTCTTCTTCCATTTCTTCATCACCTTCTTCCTCCTCATCCACCTCTTCTACTTGCATTATACCGAAGTAGTCACCAGCATCAAATACCTGAGATTGAAAGCGCACAAAATATCAGGCAGTTGGTTGAGGCAGTACCCTGATACGCATAATGCAATACTGACAGGCACTTGTAGACAATTTTGGCCTGCAATCGGATAAAAATTGGCATTTTTAACTTAACAGATAAATGAACAACAGTATTTATTCTTTCACATTTTAATAGAGCTGTTTGTTTGGGAAATTTCTTTAGTTAATATCAGCAGTTTTTTTGTTGGTTTCTTTGGTATCAATAGGTCTACTGATGATTGTCTATCAGTTTAACTCAAAGAATTACAGAAACTGAAAACAGAATATCTTTGCTCAACTTTGCTAAAATCAACAATTTAGGACTTGCAAAACCAGGTATTAACCAGGCTCCACAATTATACTAAAGTACATTAAGGCCTCTGGAGAAAAAGAGCTTTTACCACCCGCATTCTGAAACAGTTCAGAAATCTCAGAATG